CTATGCTTATTGGCTCCGCAAGATTCAATTTGTCCTCGCTAGAAATTTGCTTAATCATGAGATATCGCATATCATTTGATTCGGCTGCTCACCAGGAACACAATGACACCATTTTTAAGCTCTAGCGTCATTATGTGCCAAGTTATTGGCAAAAATGCCATTTGACCTCAGTTGACCTCATTTGACCTGACCCATGGATAAGTAGGCACAAAAGAAAGAAGCACCAGGTGGCCTGCTGTTAAGTACTGTGGTTTCAAAGCACAAAAGTGACAGAAAGAAGCGGATATTTCCAGTATTTTCCGAATTTAGTACCTATTTTCCCATAGGCTTAACATTACGACGCAATGACCTCTAACTGACCTCAGGTCAGTGACCTAAAAAAAAAAACGAACTATATGTTATACAACCCGGTGATCTTAGCACCTCCTGAAAGTTTGAAGGATATCAGTCCAAAACTGTGAGTTGGATAGTTGCAAAAAGAAAATTGAAATTTGACCATGACCTTGTACCGGTTTTTCTGACCTGGTGACCTGACCCAAGGTCACCCGGACCTGAAATTTTCAGGTCATATGTAAATAGGTTGCCCCATAGGCTATGCCAAATTTGGCGGCGCACCGTTTTTACGCTATCTTCGAAAAACCTTTGGGGGGGGGGGGTGTCGCATCGACCCCCCTGCCGGGGCGAGGGTTAAGAGCCTGGATACTCCCAAACCTTGAGCTCGATGAGAACGTGATCTCCAGGCCAAGGAGCCTTTTTTCCCCTGACTACCAATAAGGTAAGGTTAGGTTAGGTAAGGTGGCTGCTTTGCCCCACTCTCCCCTATTAAGGGTAGTGTGCCAGCTTTCTTGGACCGTATGGAGTTAATGGCCCAGATAAGGAGAACCGGATTTTTAGAACTTATCCATACCTTCAAAACTCATGGAAACGTCTTAAATTCTTCAAATTTTGAGTACCCCAGTGCGAAATTCGCCCCGACGGGTTGTCGGTCGTACCCCAACCACATTTCACACCACTATGAACAATAAATGCACACACTGAAATCGCTATTACCGATATGCTCATCCAATCAAGTTTCGATAAACCCGTTCATCATCATCTCCTGCGGTTTCGAACACGCCTGTTAGGTGGCTTCTAATGCTCGTCGAGGTCGGAATTTCCAAATACGCGTGGTGCGTCGGGCCGCGCGCTCTGACTTCGGCCAAGAAAAATGCGTCAGCTGATCATTGTCATTTCTGCCACTTGCGTGTGGTGAAATGGGGTCATAACTTATAAGACGGCTTTTTCATATCAATTATTTTACATAAAATCATATTTCAAACCATAAATAATGTTCGACAGCCAAATAAAAGAAACAATACCAATACGGGCTTACAGTTTAAGGCTCGACATTGTGTTGTCTACGATTAGACAGCTGATAACTCATTCCCGTACGTCGTATGGTCGTAACACTATAATGACCTTGGCTTATTGTCACAAGTGCGCCGCATTCGCGATTGTTGCCCGACGCCTGTTTGCAGGTGAGCCCACTACAGTTGTTATACATATCTAAAAACCGAAAAACTTTTAGGCGAAAAAGGCACTATTCCAGGCCCATTTTTGATTTTTTTGCGATATTAGGTAAAAACAGAAGCTTCTTATCCTAGGAAAAATAAAATGGGAAATCTTTCAAAGGTGGCACACTACCTTTAACCCGCGCCCGGCTGGGGGTCCTGGATTTCCACGCCCTGCTGGGGGGGGGGGGGGGTGTTTGAACACCCCCCCCTACTAACTCGGCTCCTGGGCCACGTAGCGATACGCGGAAGGCGGCGTTCGAAAGAGCGTCAAAAATAATGAGGAAATCACTTCGGTCAATTTTTTGGTCAGGTCAAAGGTCAGGTCACCAGAGGTTATTGAAGGCAAAATTTCGCCGATTTCCAGGTCGAATGTCGACAATTTCCAAGAAGCCAAGGCCAACGCATAACTCAGGAACCAATAGAGCTACAGCGCCGCGGAAAAGCGCATTTGATAGCCCTATTAACGCCTTTTCTGAGTGATTTTCTCAGATTTGACCTAACGTCAACGGTTTTGCCTGCAGGGGGCAAAAACTGCAAAAAAGCCGATTTTTTTCGGAAACAGTTTTTTCTGCAATAACTTTTGACCCAAGCCTTGTACGAGCTTACTTTTACCGGCATCGTGTTCCTCTCGTCAAGACACATCGAATGAACTATAACTTGACCTTGAAAGGTCAACTTGAAAATTTGACCTCAGGTCAAGGTCATGACCTGACCGGGAAGGGTCATGTTGCATATCAGTCGATCCGTATCGTCGAGCTGAACACATCTAAGGTGTTTTCATCGCTCGAGCATGCCTCTATCAAAAGTTATTTGCGAAAAACTGTTAGATACCATTCGTGACCTAAGATGACCTCAGGGCATAAATAGGGGTCACGACTCACGGACACCATTTTCATGTTCAGTGTGTCTAAACCACTTGTAATTCAGTGTTTGAGTGTTTATAATGTCTTTCGTCCAAAAGAGGCGCATTTCAATTTTCTCCCATTGACTTATAATGAGGAGGTCGCAAAATTGACCTGACCTTAGGTCATCGACATCAAAATTCTGAGATATACATTTTGTACATGCTATTGCTCTTAGCAATCGCTGGAAGTTTCAAAGCGATCGGTCACTCGGTGTAGCTATGACAGACATTGAAACTTTTTATGAGGTGAGGTCACTTCAAGTGACCTGGTGACCTGACCTTGAATGACCTTGGTCTGAAATTTTCACAACTTGTGTAGAATTGATGTATGATAAGGTGTACCAAAAACAGGCGCCGCCGTTTTTGAGATATTCGCGAAAAACCACAAGGGGGTGTACAAACACCCCCCCCCCCCCCAGCAGAGCGCGGGTTAATGCATCATTGACCATTTAATGTATTCATGTATGATGTAGGCATTGTACATAGTATCTTTTGACCTTCTGATTTCATATCTGATAATTATTCGGTTTATATCGAATTACAATTAAGGACCGGCGCAGTGGCGGCGGAATAGGGGGTGCAGGGGGTGCTGCTGCACCCCCATCGAAAAACATGGGGGTGCAAACATATCTTTTTGCACCCCCAAAATCCGTACAAGGGGCCCGTCGCACCATCCACAACATTTCTCCTGAAAACCAGTGATCGGAAAACGAACACTGATGTGGAATCATCCGGGATGTCCAATTATGGTCAGGAGCGCCCCATGCTAGTCTTTGGGGCCCCCACACCGGCCGGCTAGAAGTGTCCGAGCCGCGTTTGGTGCTCCATGCGGCATCTGAGGGCCCCCACGACGGCCTCAGAGGGCCCTTTTATGACGATCTCTGAGGGCTCCCACCTGGGGGCTTTCTTTGCCCCTGGGGCCCGGCTACAATGGCCACTAAGTGCCGTCATGACGACCGCTGAGGGCCCCACAGAGACCCCAGGGCCCCAAAGAGACTCCAGGGGCCACGCTAGCCTCTGAGGGCCCCTATGACGGCCTCTGAGGGCCCTTACGATGATCTCTGAGGGCTCTCACGACGAACTCTGTCCCCTGGGGCCCTATAACGACCACTAAGGGCCCTCATGACGACCACTGAGGGTCCCACAGGACTCCAGGGGCCCCACTGGCCTCTGAGGGCCTCTACAACAGTCTCTGAGGGCCCTTGTGACGGCCCAAGACCCAACTCAAGTCTGAGGGCCCATTTAGCTTCAGACGGCCCAGCGACGGCCTCTGAGGGCCTCAACACAACCAGGCTGCAGGGGCTATGCTGGCATCTGAGGGCTCTGCAACGGTCTATTGAGGGCCCTAACAACGATGGCCTCTAGTGGTCTTAACAAGGCCTCTGAGAGCCCTGCAAAAATATCTGAGGGCCCATGAAGACCCTCAATATGGCCAAGGACCCTCATGACGACGGATGACCTCTGATGATCCTCTCGAAGACTTCTAAAGGCCCTCACAACAACTTCTGAGGACCCCAGTACGGTCCCTGAGGGGCTGAGGGCCCTCACGACGACCTCTCTGGGCCCTCACGATGGTCTCTAAGACCCAACGCATGCTCCAAAGGACCACACTGGCGTCTGAGGGCTCCACGACGGCCTCTGAGGGCCTCGATGCAGGCAGGCTCCAGGGGCCATGCTGACCTCTGAGGGCCCTCTTGACGGCTTCTAGGGCCTAACAAAGGTTTCAAGGGCCAACGCTGGCCTCTGAAGAACCCTACGACGGCCTCGGAGGGTCTCAACTCAACGCAGGCAGGTGCCAGGAGACATGCTGGCCTCTGAGGGCCCCGGCCCCCGCAGAGTTCAGATTCAGAGGATTCAACGACCTTTGTGGACCTTACGAAATACGAAGGTCTCCAAGAGCTCACGCAGGCTCCTAGAATTCCACACTGATTCTCAGGCCCCATGTCAGCTTGTTGAGGCACTTAAACTTTGCACCCCCATCCAAAATTACCTTCCGCCGCCACTGGACCGGCGAAGCGCGAGAAACCATCATTACTTACAATATTTTTGACGTAAGCCAACGCGCAGCGCCACATCAAAGAGAACAGCACCTCTCCGCTAAAAAGTTGTTTGTTTACGCTTTGGCTTGGACCAAGGACCAAGCCAAGGTATCTTCTTGGGTGTATTTAGGGCCTTATTCTTCAAAGCCGTATAAGTTTTCTTGGGTATCTTGGGTGAAAACACAGGGGTCGCATGGGGCGATTTGATCAAGGGTCTTGAAATTCACGGGTGACATTAGTCACTCGCATATTCTTCGACAGGACCATAAGTGCAGAGATATTAGCCGATGTATTTGATGTCGTCATAGCTAACTGCGTGGTTCACGAAAATTGATTACACATTCAAAAGTTTTCATGAGTTTTCATTTAGCTTTGCTGGTTAAGTACAGGTTTTGTAAGGTTAATTTAGGTCAGACTTGTTTTATTTCACCCATAAGAAAAAGTAAAACCCCGTTGGATTTTACGTTGTGCGTGAAGGCTTATGACGTCACTTTTTCATCATGAGGCATTTTCCTTTCTTGATAAAGTACAATTGTGACGCGAAAGATTATAGAGTTCGGTTTCAGTGGTTCCGAGTGATTCAGTCGGAGTTGCTTGCGTTCTGCGGAGTTGTATAGCCTTGGTTCAGTCGCTGGTTCAGTCGTTCAGTCAGTGAGAAAGATTCTCGGAATTTTCATACTTCAAGGCTGAGCGTCCTAACCCAGCAAGCAAGCAAGTTGACTCTGGTTCGCGGCGTTAGCGATTAGCGAAGGTAAGTTGTTATCATTATGGATTGATGTTGTAGTTATTATTTTCTGCTTGATACAGTGGCGCGGGAACTCCTTCCAGACTGGGGGGCTGAACCATAATAGAGATCAACCTATGGTACCCCCAAATCTAGTTCATTCACCGGTTTTAGGCCACTTTTTCAGACCTTGACCTTGGCCTTTTCAACAAAAAAGAAAATACAGAGCTGGGCACTGCGCAACGTAGGTCGGCAACTCCGCAAATAGCGGACTACCCTCATGGGAGCGGAGTTACGGATCGGCTACCGAGTCCCAAAAGTTGTGGAGTTGCGAGTTGCGGAAGCAAAAAATTATAAAGCGCAACTGCTACCGGGGCCGCCACCAAGATACGGGATTGAAGCGAGATACAGATTCCAGGACAAGTTTATTAGATATGTGTTTATCTCATCAAGACTAATCAATTGATATGCAACTTGACCTATTTGGGTCAGGTCATGACCTTGAACTGAGATCAAATTTTGAATTTGACCTTTTGAGCCGAGGTCATCTTATATATCATTGATGGCCTTGAAACGACGCTCCTTGGTGGAGAAATGCTATGGCAATTAGATTAATGACCTAGCTAAACCAGTATAACGCCTTTTGGGGCGACTAACGGAGCGAGCGAGAGGGTGAGCCTTGCACATGCGAAATTTCGAGGGGGTACCTCCAGCTGACTTGCGCACGGCACCCTACTAACCGGTCTCTAGCGATGTGCCAAATTTGACCACAATCGGCCCAGCCGTTCTCGAGATCTGGAAGCGGCACCCGGCACGTGCGCACGTGCAAAATGGGTCCCAACTGACTTTTGCATGGCACCCTACTAACCGGTCCCTAACCATGTACCAAATTTGAGCGCCATCGGTCCAGCCGTTCTCGAGATCTGGAAACGACCCCTGCACGTGCGCACGTGCAGCAGCACCCCAACTCTGGCACATGGATGTGCAGTGCCTAGTGGGTGCCTACCTACATGCCAACTTTCAGCGCAATCGGCCAAGTAGTTACCGAGATATTGCAACAATTACAAAAGTGACACCTCTTCGTTTTGCACGTGGCACGTGCATAAGGGGTCACCCACATGCATCGGGAATAGTTCAATACTTGATAGAAGGAATGAAGCTACCCCACAAAAATTACCGCATGTAAATCGGTCAAGTGGTTGCTGAGATATAAGCCTCGCAAAAGCGTGACCACGGCCGGCCGGCCGGCCGGCCGCTCATACTCAGAAATTTCCGTTATTCTACGTAAGACTCCGCTCGCTTCGCTCGCTCCGTAATTATGAGAAGTATGCGCATCTGGCTGACCTTATCCTCACTTCTGTATGGAAATATGAAATTGCCAAAATAAATTACTGTATTAAAAATCGAGATATTTCGAGCACAGCTCTTCGTCGGTCGATTGTAATTATTTACACACATAACAGGCACACAATTGTGCCAATTGTCGATTGTGTGCCTGTTATGTGTGTAAATAATTACAATCGACCGACGAAGAGCTGTGCTCGAAATATCTCGATTTTTAATACAGTAATTTATTTTGGCAATTTCATATTTCCATACAGAAGTGAGGATAAGGTCAGCCAGATGCGCATACTTCTCATGATGATATTCCTCAGAACGCTTAACCACTTACGCTCCGTAATTACGTTAGAAGCTATGCCCGATAAAGACTAGCTTTGTCAATATTGGCGATTTTGCATTATTTAACGCCTGTGGGCTTAACTGTGCAACTGAGGGCAATTCTGAACTCTGACGTCTTACCTACTCCAGATAGCGCTGTAAATGGAGTTAGAATGGACTATTGTTTCTTTTTCCGTGCCTCTCTAGCCCTTCTGGTTCTCGAGTTAGCGAGTTAGCGTCTGTAGCTAAAATTCATCAAAATCCAGGAAAACCGGGAACATTTTCACTTTGATGACCTCTGGTGACTTTCAAAAAGTGCTTCCTATCAGACATAGCACTCCACTTCAGGACGAGAACTGATCAAACATTGGTACAGGTCACCGCTGAAGTTATGTGAGGTATTCGTGGTGGCTAGGGTTTGCATCTGTATCTCAGGACCTATTTGTCCGACTGCCATGAAATTCGGTAGGTAGCTTACAGGCGCTGACATCTTTTCAGCTGCAATCTCGTCCTTTGCTGTCCACCCCTAGATCGCTCCGTATTTTAAAATCGTTGGTCAGGGCCATCTGTTGAGGAGATTCGTAACTAAAATCCTGATTACGCCACTGATGCCCCAACCACGTGATTCGGCAGCGAACCAATCACCGTTCTTGTAGACAGCATGAATGGTGCCAGGTGTCCTTGCGTCGAGGCTAGCGTTTCTCGGTTGTGGCATGACCGAGAGTCGGGTCGCAGAGCAAGGTCAGTGGGGTCAGCCTCGTCAACCGCCTCCGAGTTAGCGGTGCGCTGGGCAGCGCGGGTCTGTCGGCGCGGCGGTTCCTCTGCGCCACCGATCGTGTTGACTGTTGATAGTTCTTTCTGGGTAGGTAAATATGGAATGCGTTCATGGCTGTGCTGTTCACGATGCCGTATAAATGAAAAGGGCAAGATGCATGGCCACCACATCACGACAAGTGTTTCCGCAGTTTGCACATCGGTCCTGACAAGGTCTCATCAATAACGACTCACAAACCAGTTATATCGTCGAATGACTTAACCCGCGCGGGGCTGGGGGGGGGGTCAATTTTACCCACCCTCGCGAATTTTTGCAATAACTCAAAAACGGCGGCGCGCAGCGCCGCCAAACTTTTCTTACATCAATTTGACACGTTCCCTGAAAATTTGAGCGAAATCCGTCGGAAATTTTTTGAGAAATTGACGTTTTAGTGACGTCGTGTTCGCCATTTTCGCCTCAAAAACGGCTAAATTTCAAACGCCGCTAGCATCTTCATTTTTAAAGGAATCAAGACGTAACAAAAAAGGTTATACGTAATTCTACTTTTTCTATCAAATGGCTATCTCGGTTTTTTGAAAATTTTGGATTTTGGCCAGAGTTTAAAAAAAAAAACTGACTTTTTTGGCAAAATAATTATAAAATCCAAAATTTTGATTGTATTGAAAAACCGGAATATATGTCAGAGATGTGGTCTATGTGCACCTACATACCAATTTTTAGAAGAATCGGCTAAAAAATGTGGGAGTTATTAAAAATTTCATGACGTCACGACACACAAAAATTTTGAAAAATGAATTTTATGGAAGTTCTAGACCTCGTACGGAAACAAAAATAGTACCATTCGATTCGCCGTGAAAAACTGTATCAGATAGATACCTTTTAGGCCTTAACAACCAACTTCAAAATTTGACCTCACTTGACCTGACCTTGACCTGACCTCGACCTGAAATTCATCCAGATGTGGTCCATATCACCTATTGAGTGTGCCTATTGAATTCTATCAATAAAATGACCCATAAAACATGTGTCGCACATGCCCTTTTCTATATTTTGTTTTTGGTGACCTGACCTGACCTGACCTGACCTTGACCTCTGAATGATATTGTATGCAGAGAATATTGTCTTGGTAGCCTAAGAACATGTTTTGGGCAATCAGTCTCAGTCCATTCTTCGGCAACTACGGTGCAAGGCCGATACTGTAGAAACTTGCAATTTGTACCCTTGACCTGACCTTGACCTTGAACTCAAGGTTCAAACTTTAAATTAAGTACATGTTTTTAGTTGTTCGTGATGAGATCTTTCGATTGGCGTTTGAATTTTCCAAATCGGACCATTAGTTCGGGAGATAACGGGGGGGGGGGGTAAAATTTACCCACCCCCAGCCCCGCGCGTTCGGCTGGAGACCCCAGCCCCGCGCGGGTTAACTAATGATTATAACCGGTCGCCCTCCAACCGGTCACCCTACGATTCAGATCTCGGATCCGAGTTAATCTGACTTAGGGCCCTTTCAACCCAGTCAGTCAAGGGCCCTTTTGACTGCGGACCCCCTGGAAGAAATCCTACACTGGCGAAATCCTACACTGTAGATAGGCCACTGGCGGTAGACACTAAACGCCATCGTAAGGGCCCTCAAAAGTAGTCGTGAGGGGCTTCATAGGTCATCGTTAGGACGATCATAGACCAGCCTAGTCAAACAAGCCTCCGTGGTGGCGTTCGGAAACCGTTGTGGGGCCCTTATAGGTCTGCATGGTGCTTGAGTGCCCTCAAGCCCATCGTGGGGACCTCAGATGCCAGCGCGGCCCGTGGAGCCAGCGTGGGAGTCCTCAAAGGATGTCGTGGGGGACCCTGGAGGCAATAATGGGGCCCACAGAGGCCGTCGTGAGGGCTCTCAGAGTCAGATGCCGTCCAAAAAGTCGCTGTGTACCGTGTGGGCCGAGAGACCGGCATGGGGAGCACCCGACCGTATTGGACTCTCAATAGTCCCAGATCGACTTTTGTCTCTCATCACAAGTATAGGGTGTTCACTAAAAAAAAAAAATGACACAAACTTTGAATGGCTGCATATCAAAAGTGAAGCAAGCTATTACGATGCAACTTAGCATAGAGATAAAAGGGACGTTTTTATCATTACCGAGCATAAAATTTCACGGATGTAATGAAAACAGTGGCGTTGGAGGTCGTTTTAAACAAGGACTACCAAAAGCCCATTGGCAGGCTTATCCAAAATAGCACGTCAATGGGAGAGTTTGGCACGTACAAATGCCAAATGAAAACTTAAAATGTCAAAATTAGTTACATACCGTACAGTGGGACGAAAGTTCTAGAGGGTGTGGGAGTCCGAAAAGCTGAAGTGGTGTAATTGTGAAGATATTGACCTGAGGAAGGGTCGGGGCCCCGAAAATGCACGTGGAGGGGCTTTTTGACACCTCACGGCGCAATGCTGCTGATCAGTAAGGCATTAACTGTGCCTAAGCGAAGAAGATATATCACACCTGAGACTAGGCTGAGTTACACCGGCGCAAATGATTTCTCGAAGCGACTGGGAACTATAAGGCCAGAGAAGTAAATATGCTATGGTCAAAAAAGGGACAAA